GTTGCTATTTTGCCATAAAATTATAAATATGTAGACAATTTGAGAGATGATTAATAGGACACCAAACAGAAATGAAAAGTTAAAACTCCAAAGTTAAGCAATTCTGATGTCCCCAGGCGCACTCTAATTTCTTTATGTATCGCTAATTGGTCAAAAATAATTAAAACAATGACTTAAATTTGTATAGCAATTTAGGATTTCAAATACTGTCATATTTAATTGGTTTGATCCTCACACAGCCAATATCACAGAAGCTGTTGGAAGGCGAGCGATTGGCCTGAGGCCAAACTACCTAATTAATACTAAAACAGAATAAAAGATATCTTATTTCTATCTCTGTTAGTTCTTTTAACCATCAAGTAAAGGAAAAGAGAAAAATCAAAACAAAAATGATAGATTATCTAAATCTTAATGGAAGAGGAAACTTCTTACCAAATCCGTGCTCATGAGGCCAGCCCTGTGACCTGGTGGTTTAAGTTCGGCGTGTTCTGCTTTAGCTGCCCAGGTTTAGTTCCTGGGCACAGACCTATACCACTTGTCAGTGGCCATGCTGTGGTGGTGACCTACATACAAAATAGAGGAAGATTGGCACAGATGTTAGCTCAGGGCGAATCTTCCTCAAGCAAAAAAAGAGGAAGACTGGCAATGGATGTTAGCTCAGGGTGAATCTTCCTCAGCAAAATAAAAAAAAGAAGAAGAAGAAGAAGAAGCAGCTGTACTCTTAAGAGGTTTTAGTATCAAAAACCAAAAATTGAAAACAAATGAGCTGTGTATGCATCTTAAAAACTAGAAAAAAATGTATTAAAATCAAAGTAAGTTAGGGGGCCAGCCCAGTGGTGTAAGTGTGCAAGCTCTGCTTTGGTAGCCCAGGGTTTGTGGGTCCAGATCCTCAGTGCAGACCTACACACAGCTCATCAAGCCATGCTGTGGCAGCATCCCACATACAAAAAAAAATAAAGCAAGTATGAAAAAACCAACAGCTAGTTCTTCTGTGGGGGACGGGGGAGCAGAATCTACTTAAACAGACAAATACAAGACCAGCTTGATTAAGGAAAAATTAAAGTACAAATATAAAACATCTGAGTTTTAACTAACTTTCCCAAAATAACTAGTCCTACTGCCGTTCAAACTTCTAAGAGAAAGAGGGAGTGAGTTGTAGTCATCTCTCCAATTCTGTTTATGGAGTTACATATACCTAATATCCACCACCTGGTAAAGATGCTATGTTAGTTTGCTAGAACTGCCGTAACAAAGTACCACAAACTGGGTGCCTAACCACAAATTTATTCTCACAGTTGTGGAGTCTAGATATCTGAAATCAAGGTGTTGGCAGGACTGGTTCCTTCTGAGAACTCTACGGATCTCTTCCACACCTCTGTCCTTGGCTTGTACATGGCCATCTTCTCCCTGTGTCTCTTTATGTGATTTTTCCTCAGTATCGATCTGTATCCAAATTTCTCACTTATTTATAAATACACCAGTCATATTGGATTAGGGTCCACCCTAATAACCTCATTTGGGGCCAGCCCAGTGGCTGAGAGGTTAAGTTCACATGCTCCACTTTGATGGCCCAGGTTTTCACCAGTTCGGATCCTGGACACAGACGTGGCACCGCTCATCAGGCCATGCTGAGGTGGCGTCCCACATAGCACAACTAGAAGGCCCTACAACTAGAATATACAACTATGTACTGGGGGGCTTTGGGGAGAAGAATCAAAAAAAGGAAAAAGGTTGGCAACAGGTGTTAGCTCAGGTGCCAATCTTTAAAACAAAAACCCTCATTTTAACTTGATTACCTCTATACAGACCCAATCTCCAAATAAGGTCACATTCTGAGATACTGGGGGTTAGTATCTTCAACATTTGAATTTTGAGGGGGACACAATTCAAACCATAACAGATGTCCTTTTTCTTTGATTGATCAGTCATTTACTTTCATGAGGTTTTTCCTAATAAAACTTTGAAAGAGGCCACACCCTTTTGTAAAAGCTTTTAAACATTACGTAATTTTAGAGCTGGAATGGACCATAGAAATCTACTCTAACAATACCTTTATCCGATTACTCAGAAAACAAGCTGAGCGATATCTGGGAACTTTACTGTCGGTCAATTATATCTTGGCTTTCTGGTATCACCTCCTGCAAATTCCTCACACCACTGGAGGGCTGCGCAGGGACTCCAGTCAGTTGTGGGCCTGTGTTGGAGTCTCTAATAGGAGAAGTCTTGCTCCTATCTTCTTGTTCTTCCTGGTATCCTGCCTTGCTATCAACCACTGCTGGCTTTGGGCCTGGTCAAGTGAGCATCCACCGTTGCCTCTGGCTTTTTTCCCTCTGCTTTCACAGAGCTCCACTGGAATATTTATGCAGTTTGGTGTTTTGGTTTTTAAAACTTCCTATGGAGATAAACTGTCACAGAACTGTCTTCATATAGTTTTAATCATTGAGGCAACGACAAAGGTTTACTGTAATTGATTTGGAATCAAAAGTAGTTTTTTCAGAAACGTATTATACCACTGGCATTTAGGTGTCCTCCAGTGGTGCTATTCTTATTAAATTGCTATTTACTTGAAGGTGAAATAGTCAATGGTTCTCAAACCAAAGATACTGCTTCAGTAGACCCCTGGTAGTCCCAGACATCTCCATTTTTAGCAGACATCCCGGTGATTTTTAGGTAGTCTTCACACCTCACTTTGAATAATAACAAAAACCTACTTTAAATCAACATGTTGATCATCAGTTTTTAAATCACTGCTACTAGGAACGATTGTTTTATTTCCCAATAATGTATTTTATCAAACCTAAGATTTTTTTGTCACATTACTTTATATATCACTAAGAAAGAAAAAAACTGTCAATAAACTATGACACAGAGCCTTAAAGAGAGTCCCTTTGGACCTGTGAATTATTCACACCGACACCTCATCACTTTGAAATTTCTGTGCAGAGGGATTTGCCCACTTAGTTTCCCTTCAGTTGCGTTACTGGGCCTGTGATAGGCAAAACCTTTACCACAAGCACCACAGCTTCTTCCACTTGTGGTTACCTTTCTTCTATCCTCTAATACAGTGGAATGCTGCTTTCCAAGAAAATCTGAGATTGCTGTCATTCCTCCTCCACGTGTGCTTCACTAATAAGAAATATAGACCCCATACCTGTTTATATGCCATCATTGTATACAATGGCTTTTATTTTTAGAGCCAAATCATGGTGTGGCTTTAAAAAAAAAAAAAGTGTCAGTTTAAAAAAACATTGTTATATGGCAGTTAAACTCAGCACATGATATCACTCAAAAATATCAAAAAATATAAAAAATATGACCAAGTCCATGCACACACTGACATGGACCAGTCCCGAGTGCTGCCTTGTGTATCGTTATCATAAGGTGTGATTAGTTGTAGACACAGTCTGTGAAAATGGTGGGGGGGGACAATCTTACAATCTACGTAATATGGTGATACACCAATTTACAATGGAAACTGTTCTCATGCTAACTGATGGAGTAACATAATGAGCCAGAGCAATGGTTCTCCAAGTGTAGTCCCAGGACTAGCAGCATCAGCATCACCTGGGAATTTGCTATAAATATAAATTCTCAGGCCTGCCCTAGACTGAATCAGAAACTCTGGGGAGTGGGCCCAGCAGTCTGTTTTAACAAGCCCTCCAGAGGATTGTGATGCACAGTCAAGTGTGCGAACCGCTAGGTTAAAGTGAATGGGCAGTCCAGGGCAGGGAAAGAGGCCTCCTTCCACAATAGAGAGGAATGTTTATTGATATGAACACACACATCCCTCTAGTTCTATTGAGTTTACCCAAGATAAGAATTTATGTATGTCATCCTTGAGACCACTACATTCAAATATATGGTTGTTATATAAAAGGCCTACATTTTCTAATGGCCAAAAATAAACAGACCTTGATATGTTTTACTGTTATCATCCTTAGCCGTCTCTCTCTCTTTGTTCTCTTTGCTCCAAACTATCCTTTCTTCCTAGTCTCTCCCCGCTTTCCTTTTATCATCTAGATTCATTTCCATTTTAGACTTTTCTTAGACTCTCCTTCACTTTTTCTGTTTTTAGCTTTTCAAACTTACTTTGAGCAAAATAAAAGTAGCTAGTCATATAAAAGTTGAATCCCCAAATTAAGGAATGGAGAAATACAGAACCATGAGCAAATGCCTATAAAACGTCACTGCTCAAGGATTTGGACCCAGGAACATACAGTTTAACTGCTGCCCTCTGTCATGTGAAAGGTAATGTTTGTTGCAGGGTAATACTAAAATAATTATTAAAATATGTAATATTTGGAAGTGTCATTTTATTTTCTAGTTTAGAAAACATAGTCTCAGAGATCACATTAAACTTATTGGCTTTAGTGTTGGCTGGCATGCTGTGTGTTCTTCCTTTGGGCTCAGATAGGTTTTTCTTTTTAAATTGTTAATACACATCCAGTAGAAAAATAAAAAGAAATGAGATGTTCCTTTGCTGAATGTTCACTGCAGTATCCTCATTGCTTTAAAACTGTAAGGTTTGTTCTCTCCGGAGAAACCTATTTCAGAAATAATTATCTTTGTATTGGAGTCAAACAAACAATCCATTGTGAAGCTGAAATCTCATTGGAGGTTCAAGCTCATAACACCAAATAATAAATAGGTTTGTATTCTCTGATCCTTGATGAGTGATATAATTTTAATGTTCAGTCTTCCCTTAAAACATGCATATTATGCAGAGTTTATTTTGTGGCAGCGTTTCTTTCTAGTTTATAGTGAAATGGATTTTAAATTCTTAAAGAGGAAAAAAACATTGGGGAAAAAGAGGGGACTTATGTTTTTTTAAATATGATTTTATAAGCTTATTTACGTAAGTTAAAATTTTTTTTTTCTTTGTGAACTTAGCAGAAAATCTTACTGGGAATTTTAGAGAAACAACATGATCGATTCAGAATTTATGTCTCCAACTCCAGTGAAGTAACCTACTTTTCCATCATTTTTTTTGGCTCTGTAGGCTGAGGAGGCAGCATCTACTGACAGTCACTGTATTGTTTGTTAGTTTCAAGAAGGTACACAGTGAGCAAGTGGCGTTGGTCCAGTACTCCAGTAGCCTTAAGGTACAAGGAAGAGTTTGTGAAGGCTCACGCTGTATCTGTAATAAAACGTGTGGCAGGTTAGCGTACTTCTCGGCTCTTTAAACCTTTGTTGTACAGAAATTACAGACTGGCTGGATTGACTATTGCAAAGAAACATGCTTCTCGGTAAGTAACATAACTTACAAATGGTAGATTTGTCCTAAAGTGATAGGAATAGAGAGAGAGAGGTATCCTTGGCTTTGGCTGTAGTTTTCCAGATTTATATAGGTTGCATATAGTGCTGAGCAACGCTATGACTAATATTATTTGACCTATGAAGCTTTTAGGTGATGTGGTTTGGCGACTCAGAATGATCTTGGAAATGTGTGTGTAAGTTAAAGAGGCAGTCATGACTAGAATAACTATACTTTTTTCCGTCTGTTAAGATGAGTGTAATATTTTGGGATTTAATCAGTAGTTGTTATAGACAACAGAGTCTTCAAGATTTAAATGTTAGCATGACTTCTGGTTTAAAACGGTATGTTGGACTTCCATGTACTGTTAAAATGTTATGGTATATTTTCTAAAAAGCGCCGGTTCTACATGATTATTTTATTAATAGTTAAAATATATGAAAATGTCTAGATTGTCAGTTTTAAAATGAATTTCAAATAGTAAAACATTGAAAAGGTAAATTATTAGTATGCTGCATATTTTTAGTAATATTCACAATTATATCTTATACAATATAAAATATTTTTAAATACAGTGTTTGCATGCATTAGTCTTAATAGAAATTTGCCAAAACCATTCACAGAAGATCTGATATAGGAAGCTTTCTCACTTTATAGAGAAGCGTAATTAAATAAGAATTTCATTGGAAGCTATATAAACATTTTTAAACTGCTTCATTTACTGTCAAGTTAATATTGTGAATCACTGGCTGAATTTTATGCCTTGGATTATTTATTTGGAAAATAACATTTTCCTAATAGGATATGTCAGTAAGTGCATGATGAGTTGAGGAATTTTCCAGTTAATAAGGGCTATACAAACATCTGAAACCTCCAGGAAATTAAGTGAAAACATCTTTTATTGCAATGGTTATACTTTGACCAGTTGTACACATTACTTCACATGTGAGAACAATTTCAGCCTTTATTTTGGAGTTATTTATAATGTTACTATTTAAGGATGTTTGATAATCCATTTGGGACATAGTGAACATAGCTATGTTGGTAATTTAAAATGTAAATTATATTTTTACTTTGTTGTCAGTGCATCTAAATGTTAGGTCAGTCTGCACAGAGAAAATCTATTGTTGATGAGGTATTTTGGGGGTCAATTTTTGCTGCAATTTCAGATCTATTTATTATTCTACTTGGTAGCAGTGTACTGTTATGAAGAAAATACTGGTCTAGGAATTAGGAGACTCAGGTTTGGGTCCTGGCTCCTCAACACTGCTCCTAACCATTGGGTTACCTCCTCTATAGAATGACTTCTTAGAGTTTTACTTTGTTTTTGCTATTCCACTTCTAACGTCTTAGTTTTCATTATCCTGTCATGTCAGAGGTGATATATTCATATACAAAATACACTGGAAATTTTGAACAAGGGCCATCCTTTCACATGAGAGCTCACTTCAAATCACAAGGCTCAATGCCATTGGTAGGGAATGAGTGATATAGACAATTTAGGACAGTGGTCCTGGCCTCTGGAAAGTGCACCTATGCTTGTATGAAGTAGACACCATTTTGTTTATCCTAATACACACATATGTTTCACAACCTTCAAAGTCAGAAAATTCTGACCAATACCCATCTTGACAATGTTTATAAAGAAAAAAGTGATCCTTCAATTGAAATCATCTACACAGTAGCTTCTTACATGCAAAATCTCAAAATATTTACACGCCATATCCACTACCTCTCCATTTGCTCAAGATTTCTGCATTTGATTGGAAATGAAAAGTTTTCAGTCTTGAGTCTTTCTGTTATTTCACTGAGATGATTCACTGTGGCTGAGGTGGTAAGCAGGAGCTTCAGATGACAGTTTGAAATTCTCTTCCTCCACTTCTGAGCAGTTTAAGAAAGAACGCCTGTCCTTTCTGAACTCATCTCCTCTGTAAATGAGGATACAAATATTTATCACATAGGATTGCTGTAAGGATTAAATAGATAATATTTATAAATGTCAACTGTGCTACTCGAGACTTTAAGTTGGTGATCAATAAAAGGTAAACAATTATTGTTTTGTTAAATTATTGACTATTGACTTCTGTTTGGATTCACCATACTTTCTAGGATTGCTGAAACTAAGTTATTTACTCCAGTGTTCCAGTATGATGAGTGAATTATTTCCCTGTGCGAATTTAGAGTCAACCAGAGCTAACTCTAAATTATAGTTGTGAGCTATAATTATTTCAATGGTTAAGACCATTTTGGCCCCTGGGAGTTAAAAGTTATATTTTACAGTGCATGTGAAAGAAGTATTTGTGAATTCATCTCTGTCTTCTATTCATACGTAGGTTAAAATGAGCCATGGTGTCAAGAAGTTTCTTTGGAACATTACATAAACTTGTTCTTGGCCACATAGCAAATGGGAATATGCAAACAGGACTCAAAGGAACCAAACAGAAAATCCTTCACAGGCAGGAAACCTAATATTTACACACTAATCAATAGGGTGATGGTCACTAAGGTGGAGTATGACTAAGATTTCTTGTTCATCATGAATGGGAGCTAGCATCTTAAAGGACTTTCTTCATGTTAGCAGGTTCAACAGGACTAGATTGACAGGTATTTCGGCACCAGAGGCTCTTTGTTCTCCCCACTGCCCTGCTCCCTCACATACTCCTTCCTTCCCCTGCTAAATCGGCTCTCTGCTCTTCTATTCACACTCAGATATAAATGGCCTCTAGTGGTTCACCAACATTTTCTATGTATTTGCATTTTAACACACTGAAAAACTTTAAGCTAAAAAGCTAACGCCCTAATCCCATGCAATTTTAAATAATAGCCAGTGGATTGGGAGGTTTTAAAATAAGGAAGAAAAACAAAGAGGTACATCCTCTAGATTATACATTCTCATTGCCCCCTATGAGACAAAGCTTCATTCTAGGAGGCAAAAAACTTTAACTCTTTTTATGCGTAAAGCACAGATAGATGTATAGTATATAAACAGACATAGGGTGTATCTGTGGTATTACAATTTTATGGAGAGTGATTAAGAAAAAGACATCAAGAAGACCCTTTAGGGATGCAATGATGAAAAAAGAAAGTTGAGAAACATGGTTCTAGATGAGGATCTCTAAGGGCTCTATAAGCCTATAGAGTACTGATTTTACTGAAATGTTTCTAAACGTTTGCAGTATGAAGTAGCTTATGTCTGACTTAGTACTTATATTTGAAGCCAGTATTGATGTTCTAATAAGTGAATTACGGTCATTTGTTGTAACTTTTGCTCTTTTTAGTTATAAGAGGAAATAGAGAGGAGGGACTTGAGAACAAGACATCCTTGGATTTGAATTCCAGCTCCCTCTCTTTGTTCTGTGATCCTTGGCAGATCACTTACCCTCTTAAGCCTCAGTTTCCTTGTCTTTAGTTTACTTGGGGATCATAATGTCCACCTTGTAGAATTCCAGTATCGTAAAGATTAATCAAAATAATGTACATCAAACCTTCTGCACATTGCCTAGTACATGACAAGTCCATGCCAACTGGTAGCTATAATTTTATGTGTTGTGCCTTTTTATGTTGATTACTGTCTTTTAAAATTATTATAGAAAAACAGATTTAAATTTGGGAGACAAAAGTATTATTATCCACAAAATACAGAAGTCTCTCTAGGACAATGTTAATCCTATCCATAAAAAGAAAGATAAACTTCTAGTTTTTCTTTAAACCAGTGACTACACCTATTGACATAAACCAAAAACAGAATAAAATCTAAATTTAACTTTTTTCTTTTTTGCTCAGAGGTAACCCTTGGCTAAATTAGACATTTAACATCTCTAGATGCTAATGTAGTCTATTAAATGTAGAATGATTAATCGTTCTGGCAGTTCTATTGAAATGTATTTTCTTTGACTACTACATTGAACTTACTCAGCTGTAAAGTCATTGTTTTATTTTCCCCAGTACCATGAGAACTCAGTATCATTTGGAATTCATATCTGTTTGTGACATCACTTTCGCCTAGAATGTCACCATTCCCTTTGTCTATATAGATGATATTTGCTTTTAGATATTTACCAACCTGCGTGGAATTGTATGCTAAAGAAGTTGACTGAGAGGACATAATGAGAATCAGACAGTATTTCAAACTTACGAATTCCTGTGGAGTTGAGTGAATTTCAGCATTGATACATCTCTGTGGAAGATTTTGTTTCCTTGAAAGGAGCGTGCACAATTCATTCTCTCTCTCTTATTCTCTACCCCTCAAATGATTGTCCTGCTTTTGTGATATACTATTAAAACTCTAACCTGCCAACCTCATTCTCAGGTTATTTTGCTTTCTTTTACTTTGTAAGATTAATACCCACCTCTACAGGAGAAAACCTGATGGAGAAGGAGGAGTGCTTTCACTGTAAAGATTGTGATGTGGCAAAGTAGAATAGATGAGCGACTCTGAAGTATATGATGCGTTCCCCTTTGCCTTTTCAACTTATCTTCTTTTTAGGTAATCTATCTTGTCAACAATGTTTCCACTCTTCTGTGATAGAAGTCCTTTAATAACAAATAACTGTGGAGATATGTCCTCTGTTCCCGAGCCTGCTTTGTAATTTATGGCTGTAACAGCAGAAAAAGGAGTTTGAGGAGCAGAGTTAAAAGAACACTATAGGTTTCTTTCCTCTATATGTAGGCAGCACATTTCTCCAGCAGAAACAATCCGCAAGTAGTGGAATTCAGAAAGCACCAATGATACAGTAATTTAAGACTCTTCCTAGCTTTCCAGGGACCTGGGAGAACAGAATTTCACAATCTAGATGAACATCACATTTCAAAAGCATATGAGAAACCAAAGATCCTCACTTGGAATAAAATATATTGGCTCAGATTCGGTCTCCATATGCTTTAAAAATCATACTCTGAGATGATGCTGGAAGAAGATTTGATGTTCAGAAGCCATTGGGCTGCAAAGTTGGATTAAGAATAAATATGTGCTAAATGACACCCTGGAAGTTTTGATGTACAATAGGTATTCTCTAGTCCATACAGAATTGTCTCAAGTCCACTTGCTGCCATTCCAGTAGAAGAATAGGAGTGTTTTCTAGATAGTAGGAGGCAAATGTTTCAGTGCGAATAATAAGATTTGTAAAATAGACCCTTTGAGGGCTAACCAGTGAGATAATTTCCCGAAACCTGGAAATCTAAAAGTGTCATCCCTAAGAGGTTAGAATAATCTTCACATTCTTGGAACCATAGTTTCATGAAGAATTAATATGGTATTTTTCATCACCCTTATTTATTTTGCTTAAGACAGCCAAAGTGACTTAACCAAGATGTCTCATCTAGGAAAGATGGAATTAGAATCTAATCCAGTATTTCTTTCCGTTCATTCGCTATGCTTCCCTCTGTTCCAGTGAGATGGGCAAGAGCCCTGGCCCAGACGACAGGCTTCTATCCACCTGTGCTAGAAGGTCATGTAATGCCTCCCACTCCATCCCTTAATTCTAGTTGCATCTTTAGGTCACCAAATACAAGGTCCTCCTCTGTAGTCTGCTTGAAAATTAGTGGAGCCAGGCCCATGACCTTTCTCCGTTAAAACTTTTTTTTTGCCTCCTCTCACTCACGCATTTCTCTGTTTCTTTCTACAGAAATATTTCAAAATAATTTGGAGAAGTATCACCAATTATTTTTCATCCCTTTAGAAAGATTAAAGTGGCCTTGGCTGCTGTGAGGAAAGCACTGGCCAGTCCAGACTTCTTCACTAGTTGGAGTATTGTTGAAACGAGAGGATGCTTGCCACTATTGATCACATAATATCTTTGTCTTTTCCTTCTTTGCAAGTCCCTTGAGCCTTTTAGGGTACTTTCATGTGGTAGGAAGAAATAGAGATGGTTTGGTTTGATAATTAACTTGTCCCTAATGTATTGGTTCTGAGTCTCAAACAAACTAAGAAGGACCCCACTGTATTCTATGGTATATCAGTCAAAGAGTTCTGATTGAACATAGAAAGGATAATCAGCTGGGATTTACAAAGAGAATTTAATGAAGGACCTGTTTGCAGAGGCGTGGTAAGGTTTAGGGGAGTCAACAATAGATGTTGAGGTTCCTATTGACCGACCGTTAGCTCCCCTATTCCTGAGGGAGAAGGGAGGTAATGGAAGTGTGTAAGTTTGGTGAGAGCTGAAATTGGAGGCTGAAAGGGAGACGACTCAACAGGAGCTGTTATCATGGAAAGATGCCACTTGCCAGAAGGGCAAGGAGGGAGACCAAAAGGAATACTTCAACTTCTCACTTCTTCCTACACAGAATGGGTAAAGAGTAGAGAAAAGATCTGGGAGCAGAGAACAAGCAGCACACATGATCTCCTGAACTTATTTCAAAACATCTTCCCCACCCAACATTTAATGTGAACAATAACTGATGGAAGTGTTCCTTTAGCTCATCATGTTCCTCTGTGCATTCTTTAATGTTCTAGACACTGAATGGCTTTTACAGTTTTATTTTTGGGCCAGCGCCATGGCCTAGCAGTTAAGTTCATGCACTCCGCTTCTGGAGGCCCAGGTTTGGTTCCTGGGCACAGACCTACACCACTTATTGACGGCCATACTATGGTGGCGACCCACATACAAAATAGAGGAAAACTGGCACAGAAGTCAGCTCAGGGAGAATCTTCCTCAAGCAAAAATAGAGGAAGATTGGCAATGGATGTTGGCTCAGGGCAAATCTTCCTTAGCCAAAAAGGAAAAAAAAGCTGTGCTCTTAAGTGGTTTTTAGTATTAAAAACCAAAAGTTGAAAATAAATGAGCCATGTATGCATCTTAAAAATTAGAATAAAATGTATTAAAATTAATCAAAATAAGTTAGGGGGCTGGCCCAGTGGCAAAGTGGTTAAGTTCACAAGCTCTGCTTTAGCAGCCTGGGGTTTGCAGGTTCAGATCCCAGACGTGGACCTAAACGCTACTCATCAAGCCATGCTGTGGAGGCATCCCACATACAAAATAGAGGAAGACTGGCACAGATGTTAGCTCAGGGACAGTCTTCCTCAAGCCAAAAGAGAAAGATTGGCAACACATGTTAGCTCAGAAGGGTCAATCTACCTCAGCGAAAAAAAGAAAAGTTACTTTAGGGGCTTGCCCCATGGCATAGTGGTTAAGTTCAGTGCATTGTGCTTCACCAGTCCAGGTTCACAGGTTCAGATCCCAAGTGCAGCCCTACACGGCTTGTCAGCCATGCTGTGGTGGCAACCCACACATAAAGCAGAGAAAGATTGGCACAAATGTTAGGTCAGGGCTAATCTTCCTCAAGCAAAAAAAGAGGAAGATTACCAACAGATGTTAGCTCAAGGCTAATCTTCCTCAGAAAAAAAACTTATTTTAACTCGGGATCCTTAATGCAAATATTAGTTTCTAATGGTTGTGCTCTGCAGTGGTAGTGCACAGGATCTAGTGCGGGATTGAGATCTGTTTGCTCCTAAAAGAAATGGTCCCAGCTTGTCATGCTTTGGCGTTTTTGACCATGCTTTTTATGGTCTGCTGGTGTTCTACAATGTCAGCTGGCATGTGTCACAGCTGTCCATGTCTATAGCAGCTCTAGCTCCTAGTTCTGAATTCAGCTATTTTCATTCCTGTATGTACTCAGAAAAGAGATAACACTACTGTAGTCATTTGTCTGACACATTTTTATTGAGCATCTCTTATGCTCACAAAAGACCCTGAAGATATCAAGGTGAGCAAAGCAGAAAAGGCTCCTCTCCTTGAGGAGATTATGTCTAATTTTTTTTTTTTCTAAACTAAGTCTTTGAGACCTTGGGGACTTTCTTAAGAATCTTTAACCTTCTGATGCTTTTTGAGGGGTGAGGGAGAGGAGGCACGTTTTCCAGTGCTTTGCTGAATTTTGAACTGTTGAAGTTACCAAATAAATAGGTGAGGTATGTGTGGTACTCTATTTAGTATCACTGTTGTTCATTCATTCAAAAAATAATTTCTGAGAATATACTATATGCTAGTATATGTAGTGATTGAGAAATTAATAAGATACTTAGTGTCCAAGGTACTGATCATCTAGCTGGGAATCAGATACGCAAATAACTACAAGGATAGGGTGTCAAGGGCTATGGGACTAGCGAATGGTTCCATTGTTTTGGATGAGGGTGACCATGAGAGTTGAGTTAATATCCATAACGCCTAATTTCCTGGCTGCTCAGGCGAGCAGTTTAAAGCCTCACTGTTAGTAATGTGTGCTTTTATTTAGTGGGAGTCCTGTAAGTACTCACTTGTAAAAGCAGCGTTTCCCAGAATCCATTGGCACAAACTGTTCAATTCTTTGAAACACACATGAAATAGTTCCAAGCACAGTGTTAACACTGTTTGGGGATAAACTACATGAACTCTGGTTTTAGACATCATTGAACATTTATTTACTACTATACTACTATACTATATTTACATTCAAATATACTACTTTATACTAGTAGTATAGACCTGTACTCTGGGAAAAATACTCATTGAAACTAAAAAATAGAACCACATAATCATGAAAAAGTTGTCCTAATAGTGGTTGACATTATTTATATATCTCAACAGTTGTGACTGCGGAGTCTAGAACTGCTTAGGAGGTCAGAGCCCCTTGTCATGTTTCCAAATCTACACCTTAAAATGCTTTGTCTAGAGTTAGCTGATTCTCTGACCTGTTGAAAAGGAAGCTCGGAAGTTCTATTTTTCATCTAACTAAGACTAAGTCTTTTCGCTGACAATATAGGTTTGGCATGCTAAATAAGGCTCTTTCTATTTTTCTAAAACAATAGAAAGAAACACTCCTATGGAATGTATTTTTCATTTCTTCCTGACTCTCTTTTTCCTTAATTTTTTTTTTTTTTTGAGAAGAGGTGTCCCTGATAAATAAAAGGGAGCCTAATCTTAGCCACTTTCCATGAGGGCTCCAGTCTTCTTTAGGTGTACCACCGTGCTCCCAGTGACGACGTT